AGGATGAAGTTTACAGTCCTAGCAAGCAAGACCGTAGGTACCAGACCCCAAAGACCTGTCCGGATTCGGCTTTCGTGCTCCTTCATGGGAATTCCTCTCAAACATGACTCACGTGGTCCTGTTCTCATCTTTCCTTCCATGAACACTGACAAAGAAAATGCTATCTTTGTCTTGGTTAACTTGTCACCTTCTTGTCTGCTTCTGGATGTAAGCCTACCAAGGAGAGAGGGGCCTGGTCTTTTTGGCTCCGGCTGGAGCCCCAGCCCCTAGCGTGAGGTTGGCCAATGGGACACCCTCAATGTTTGTCAAATAGGTGGCTGTCCATTTATTCTGCACCCACTAACGTATTCATGGACTCTGGCTGCTACTGGGTGTGTGAAGTACAGCGAAGGCATCCTTGCTGCATTATTAGCAGGTGAAGATCGTCGGGTTGGGTACAAGTCCAGGGAAGAATGCTGGTTTTTACTTCTCTGGATGTCACTCTACCACCTGGAACTTTAACAAGTTTAGTTCCACTTTACAAATGAGATGGGAGAATACTGTTTTCAACAACTTTTGTACTAAGCATCACGTAGCCACAGTCACAAACTGCTCATCAACGTCTGCCCAGCATTTACGGGAGCCGTGTGGACAGTGCCACATGGGATGCTGGGGGGCGGCTGCAGGCAGCTCAGGGCACATGGCCCCTCAGAACATGGGCTCAGGGGGGCCACGATTCTGGTCAGCCTACATAAAATTTCGGTATTGTAAATTCTGGCCCAAATACAACAAGTTGTTGGGCTGCTTTGGACCACACAAGCCACCAATTAAAAAAAAGATCTTAGCTGTACAGACTTGGATTAATCACAGTTCTTGGTTCATGGCATATTCTCATCCTTAAGCCATGAATGAAACTGTCTTCTTGTTTCATTCATTCACTCACTCACTCATTCATTCAATCCAGGCCATCAGTTTGCAGCCTCTGGAATATATGTGGTGCTAAGCCCAAGTGCATGTTAAATGTTCCTGCAATTGCTGTTTATGTGGCTAATTAACTCAGCAAGCCTCCTCAGCAGCAACACAGGGCCATGGTTGTGGCGTCGGTTCGGGGAGAGGGTCTGTATCTAGGTTATGCACTTGAACACGGGCCAATTACTTCATCTCCCTGGGCCTCATTTTCCTCACTTTCCCAATGGGGTTATACCCTGTAAGGTCTTTGAAACATTAAGGGAGATAATCCATATTAAAAGCTTGGTGCATGCAAAAGGCACTGAGTTAACACTGGCTACTACTATCTTCATGGTACAGAGAGGCAGAGGCAGACCTCTCGGGCCATGTCACAGTGTTAGTGACCCATGAATTAGTGACCACGCAGCAGCGAGGAACCGGGATGGACCTGGAAGCAGAAAACGCCTTCCTGGCTCAAACGCGTGACAACCTCTCTGCGATCCAGCAGGATCCTGGGTTGGGCTAGCGGGCGGAGAACAGTTTCTCCAGGGAGTCAGCTCCTTAAACCACTGATCACTGGGCTGCACCCTCAGTGTCAGATTCGGGAGGCTGGAGGGAGGGGTTGAGACGTGCACTTCTCACAAGTTCCCAGGGGCCACACTTTGAGAACCACCAAACCAAGCAATTAACTCTGATGAGGGACAAGGGGCAGTCAGGGGAAGCTTCCTGGGGGTGAAGGTCATTGAGGCAAGCCTGCTTGCAGGATGACAAAGAGAAAGCAGAGGGAACCAGGACCCAGAGGTGTGTGAGTGCCCAGTGTGTGCTGGGAAAGGCAGGTGATGAGGCTGACAGGTGTCCAGGCGGCACAGGTGCAGGCGGCACAGTGTGAAGGGTGGTCAGGGAGGGATCAGGTGAGAGAACAGGGACATGTCGTGGGACAAGAGCAGACACCAGCGGGATCTTCTGCCCAGGTGAGCCTCACCCCCTTTAAAGTCTGGGCCTTTCTTCTGTGACACTGTTTTCAAGCTAGGGATCGAGACCCATGATTTCCAAAGACATCAAATGAAGCAGTGGGTGCAATCAGCATAAAAAAAATGAATCAGAAGAGAATAGAATCTTAAAAATCCAGAGCCCCCACATCTCGCCAGTAACAATGCACAGAACAAGGGTCTTGTTTCATTACATCTGTTTCAGGTGTGTGTGCAGATGGGTCCTGCATCAGGACGCCCATGCATTACAGTCAAGGTTGGACAACCAGGGCTCCGTGCAGCCTTCTGTTCACCCACCCAGCCCCAGTGGCTCTATCCGCCGGGCACACACCCATTCGGGCCTCTAGAGCTATGGAACCCGGACAGGAGAGGCTGAGAGGAGGTGGAGGACGGTTACAACCGAGGTTTCCAAAGAGGGAGGGCTGAGCTGAAATGGGCAGAGAGACTTTACGGAGGTGCTTGAGTGTGACCTTGCAGGTGGCTCAGGTTCTGACGCCAGGGCCTCTGAGAAGAGGGAAGAGATCCCTCAGGCAAAGGCAGGTACGAAGTTGCCAAAAAGCACTGGGAATGAATGGTCAGGGTGTGAGAAGGCAAATAAGATTTCAAGAAGCAGCCCGAGGCCCAACGGAGATACAAAGTCCAAACAGAGCTTGGAGAGGCCTCCAATATCCAGTGACAAATCCAGTGAGAGCTGAGGAAGCCGAGGCCTGTCTGCCCAGCACCTGCCTGGGACAGGGACACAGGCCCGGGAGGTGTCAGTGCTGTTCCGGGCCAGCCAGACCCAACCACCGGCTGGGAGGCTGAACTCCAGCGGGCCTGTCAGGCTTCAGGAACCTTTCCTGGCAGGATAGTAGGTCAGACCCAGACCGACAATACTTCAGGTGCCTCAGACAGACCCTGCCTAACCCCCCTCCCCACACCAGGTGAGAAACTGAGTCCCTGCGTTAGAAACCCTGGAAGCACCAACTCCACACCTTTTGGTTCTACCAAATGTCAGCAAATGATTGTCAAGAATTTTCCTGACACTGTGATTGCGACCGAGTTTGCAAAAATAAGCAAGGAAATACGTAGTTCCTTTCTCTTTTGTGGGGGTGGTTCTCTATCCAGTCTGCAATTTTCATCGGCTCTAGGACGGCACATGCCAAACCCATCTGCACTGATGTGTCTCCGCACTGACGACCTGCATGTTTTCAGGTCTTGTTAGGCTCTGATGGTCTCGTTTCACACACTAAGAAGCAGCTCTGGGGAGGTTCTGCGTTTTGCTCGAGGTCACCGAGTGGAAGGCCCCAGGGTGGCCTTGGGCTCCTGCCTGCTGCTTCAAGGTCTATCGGGCGTCCAGCAGTTCAGATGCGATACAAAAACTCACCTTGTGTTTGAGGTGGCGCCAAAGGAAGCAGCCATTTTGCAGTGTGGATTTGTGTTTGATGGTCTAATTTTCTATCTGATAAATCGCCCTGTTCTATTGAAAGGATACTTCCATGTCTAGGAAACTGCTGAGAAATTCATAGGGAAAAAATGATGGCAAACTTTAAAAAAGAGCATGTGTAAAAGCCCAAGTCACTGTTGTCCTCTTTCCTTCAACGGGCTGAATGCCGCCAAGGCTGAATTTTTCAGTATGGACACAGAGGTGTGGGGGCACCGCAAGATTCCTACACTTCTATGCTACATTCGTGTCTGTAACATCAACAGCCACATCTTATTTCCTCTCACCCACCTTGATTGAGGCAGAAAAAGGATAAACAGCAAATGCTGTTGCGAATATCCTTCCAAAATGGTAATTATTGCATCATTATGTCGCTATTTTACTTGTCATGTACCATTAGAAGGTAACAAGATCATTGTCAGTCAAAGGCTGTGGAGATAATTAGAGCATCTATAGGTTAGCAGGGAATCAGATTGGTGCTGGTGCCCATCAATGCCGAGGAGCTGAACATAATTAGAGGGGAAATATGCAAAGGATGAGGCGAATCAAGCCCTCGGGATTAAATACCGTGACTGATTTTGAGAGCTGACTCTTCCATGTCCTGACATTGCAGATGGCGGCATGAAAGGAGGTGTACAACACAAGGCAGTGAGGTCTGCCAGAGACAGCGAACCAACAGTCACGGTGAGTGTTGGAAGGTCCGAGAATTGCCTGATTTGGGAAAACAGTGTTTATCAGGTTTTCCGATCCACTAGTTTTTCTTCAAGCTATTTCCTCTGGTCTGAGAGTCAGGTACTAACACATAAAAGGGAAACTGAGCGAAGTGGGCGTTATCCAAGCAGTCCCTGCTCTACTCGCCATCAACTTCCCAAGCCAGCAAAGCAGTTGCCTCACCCAGAAGCCTTTCCCACGTCCCACTCACCCATGTGGAGCCACAGGTGCCCAGGGCACCCTCCCATCACAAGTCCTGGCTCCTGGATCCCACCCCCTTTCACTTCTAACACCCACTCAGCAGCCACCCATGTCCCGCTAACCTGGACTGCTTTCCTTGTTCTCCAGTCAGATACAAACACCAATCCAAAATATGCAGAGTCTATACATCCAAACAGAAGCCTCATCAGGCTGACACAGTAAAATTTAATCATTTCTCCATCTTAGAAAAAAACATAAAACCAATTTGAGGATGAGGCAGAAATCTGCAAACTGATGAGGGATGTGCCATGTCATTCAACAAGACACAGAAAAAAGTCAACAAGGGAAAAAATATCTATAAGGTATCAACCCAGGTGAAATGCAAAGGGACAGGCACACAAAGACTGTGGTCAGAGGCCCGATATCCGGTTTGTCACCAATGCAGAGAAAGCAAACCTGAGCAGGCCTACTTGCTAACCTGGCCTACACAGGCTTACCTACAATGCAGAAGTACCTTCCCCAAAGCAGTCTTTTGTTTAGAACATAACAAAAATAAAAAGTTCTACAACTTTTATGGGGCCCGAACGTCTACAGAAACTAGCAGGTGGATGCCTAGGTTGGGCAGCCAGTGTGCGGGGCAGCCTCCGTTCTCACTGGGCTGGGCCCAGGGAGGGTCAGAGCCAGGGCTTGCGAGCAGGGCTCCTCCCTGGGGCCGGATGGCCAGCTCACACAGACAAGCAGCTGAAAGCTTCGTTCACATTTTTTAATAACATGGCACAGTTTACATTACACAAGAAGGCTCCGCCGCTGAGAACATGCTGAAGTCAGTCGCTTCACTTTTCTGTTCACATAGGGTCTAGAAAGGACTTTATTACATACAGGAGAAACAGCAAAAGGTCCGTATAGAACAATCTCTTTACAATACTGAAGCTACCACTACAGTTCCAGTGTACATATTCCTTGGATTCTTTTTCCTTTTTAGTTGTTGTCTTAAAAAAAAAAAAAAAGCCAAAAAAAACCCACTGCACAACATCTGGAGTTCACAAAATTCTGAAGCTCACAACTAAACCTTCAGTTTACTACTAAAATAGATCTCTCTGCTTATTAGAAACAATGGTCTGTAGTTAACTTTTTTTTTCTCCAAAAACAGGATAACAACGTCAGATAGCACTTTAATATACTAGAAGACCGATGGAACTAATTTTATTTCGTACATATATTTTACAGTCCAGTAGACAAGATATATTGTATTTCTCTGCTAGTAAAGTCATATTCTCTCCAAATATGTAGACAAGAGGCTTAATGTATTATAAAAGTATTATGAGGAGACATTAAGATTGATGCAAACTTAAAAACACACGCACACACAAGACTTTGTCTCAGCCACCTTCCACCCTCGGTAACGCTCCGCTCCGCGGCTCCCAGACTATCACTGACTAGAATACAGGGAGTCACATCAGGAAATGTGCCCTTTTGATCTGTTGGTTACTGAATAGTGAAAACATATCCATCATCTGAGAAAACTCAAAGCTTTCTTTCAGGATCTGTTTGGGTGTGACTGAATCTCATTACAAAACGAGGAAGTGTGTACGGGTAGGAAATAGGACACACTAAAAAAACGCATGGTTCCCACATGAGGTATGTGTGAAATCACATGACTGATGGTGGTGAGATGCTGGCAACCTGTTCGTGTCCCCTGATTTTGGCATCTGACCACTCCTGGCCTCCCCGGCACTGGCTGCTCATGGCCTCTGACCTCTCTGGGGCCACCCTCTGCCCCAGGAGCCCACAAGCAGCAACTTTAGAGCCAAAATTTCGGCCTGGGGTCCAATTTGCAAAAGAGGATGTTTCTGTATTTGAAAAAATAAGCAAGGAAAACAGAGTCCTATCACATAAGCGCTTGTTCAGGGAAAATATGACCTTAAGTATGTTGTAAATGGATCTGAAAAGGCTCCTTTGAGTTGGGCGGGCTTTTGTGAAAAGCCTGAACATTCATTGCATAGTTGAAGGGTTTAGCTGTCTCTAACAATACAGGGGAACACAGCCGCACGGACCGTGTTCACTGAGATTAAGTTTGCAAAGAGCACATTTTAAGAAGTATTAATGTATTATGTTACTTAATCTTTACCTATTTACATTTGTACAAAGTAAAGCTTTCATCTTACCCTTTTGCATATATGAACCCTTAGCTCATGAAGCAATCTTTTTTTTACACAACTATGTACAAGGCCTTCCCTTCTCCTCTGAAAGAGCTTGCACGGTGGCTCGTGCGGACTGCTGTCTGTCTGTTTTCTCCCCAATGAACACATCAGTGTGTGTTGTCATCTTCACTGTTTTGGTTCAAATCAAAAAGTTTTATACGAGAAACCAAAAGGGTTGGACACATGAGAACATATGACTTGGCTAAAATATCTGAAAAATTTCAACATATAATATACAAAAACATTTCAAAATCTGCACTGAGTCTATACATTGTTTACAGGGAGAGCTGGGGCTCCTGCCCCCAGTCCGTCAGGGATGCGGGCGCCCGTTGGCTCCCTCCGCTCCGGGTCTGGCGCTGTTGGTGGGCCTCCTCTCCCGTGGCCTGTTCTCTCCTTATCGCGCTTCGATATCCTTCAGCGTGTGGGAAGGCGGCCTCTCCCTCATCTCTGCCGACAGAGGAGTAGTCCTTCTGGGGGAGACCGGGCGGCCCCCCAGCGTGGAGATGAGTGGGGGCGGCGCGCTCAGCGCGGCAGTGGGAGGGGTCTTGTTGAGGAGTCCGTTCTGGTGCCCCGCGGTGGGGCTGATTCGGGGGTAGTGCATGCTGGGGAGCCCTGGCGTGAGGAGGCTGGGGTGCGGCAGGTGTCCGTCCAGCGAGGCGGGGTGCACGGGGTGCAGCCGCGAGTGCTCATAGTCCTCCCGGAGCATGTGCAGGCGCTCCCGCTCGTCCAGGTGCGCGCCCCGCTCGTGCTCCCGCCGCGGGTCCACGGACAGCGGGTGGTGGTGGTGGTGGTGGTGGTGGTGGTGGTGGTGGTGGTGGTGGTGGTGGTGGTGATGGTGGTTGTAATCGTGGGGCTCCCTGTCCCTGAAGGAGCGGTCAGCTTCGTACAGCCGGGGGGTCGAGAGACGGTGGAGGGGGTCGTTCCTCAGCAGAAAGTCCCTGCCCAGCGGGTCTCTCCGGTGAATGTCAAGTTCTCGGTAGGGATCCCTCAGAGGGTCCCGAATGGGGTCCCAGTGGAAAGAAGGGTACGGGAACCGCTCTCCGCCCGGGATGGGGCTGATGCCCATGAAGGGCGTCATCATGCGAGTCCTGTCCAGGCTGCCGATGCTGTTCATGGGGTGAATGCCCGTCACCCCCACCGCCATGGGCATGGAGGCCAGGGGCCCCGGGTGCACGCTGGACGAGGAGTGGGGAGGTGGCGGCTCCGAGGACCGGTGGGTC